GCCATATCCCCCTTCCTCCCTCTCTCGGCCGAACCCCACCACCACCCCTACAATCCCGCCGGCCATCCCCTCTCCCACCTCCAAGCCGCCAGCCATAAAGCTATCCACCTGCTCCTCCAAACCGTCGGCCTCAACCCCAACCCCAAACCTAGCCGCCGGTCCCAACCCCCTCCCTTTGCCTCCAAAATTCAAATCCCTATTTAATACTTTCCATTTATTAAACAACTTAAATTAGGAAAGTTTTTGATTTCAAATTCCAATCAATTTTGAATTTGAAATTATTTCTTAAGATAAGATGATATATTTTAGGAAAATTACTTAAATTAAATCTAATTAAATTTTAAATTGGATTTGATTTAAATCAATTATTTCTAATTTAAGATCCTAATTAAAGCAAGCCTTAAAACCCTACCCAAAGCCCTCTTACCCAAGGATGCCTTTGGCCCCCTCCCTCTCTTTCTCTCCCTATCCCTTGCTAACTCCCTTTCCTTTTGAAGCTCTAATCAATTCTTCATCAAATAAACCTCTTTCTTTTCCCTCAATTTTGAAATTCAAAATTAAAACCCTAAAACCCCTCCCAAACAAATCTAAAATTAAATTTCAGATTTTAGATAGCCATCCCCTCTCTCTCCCTTTCCCCCCGCCCTCTTCTCCTTTGCTCTCTCTCAAGTAATTTCTCTCCCAACTTCTTACTCTCCAAATTAATTTCAAAGTTTCAACTTTCTGAAAGTAATTTCAAATTTATTTCACAACATCCTTTCTACCACAATTCCCCAAATCCGATGTCTCATGTTCTGCTTCCCTTCTCCATTGTATGGCGGATCCTGAACAAGATCACAGGTTTGTTTACAACGATTTAGGTCAAGTCGACATCCTCAATTCACCATTCTTCAACCTCAACTTGGAGATTGATCAAACCGTAGAAGAATACATTGAGAGGATCGTCTTCACCCTCGCCGAAGCCATCGACGAACAACTCTCCTCCGTGCAGTGGCAAATTGTTTTCAAATCTTGATCAAGGTGAATCTTTCCTCCAAATCTTTTTCCTTTCTAACTCTTGCCTTAATTTGTAGCATCACAAGATCATGTAATGCTTTCTCTGTGTTACCAATCATTAAAAGAGTTGAGTGAGGGACCCAACTGGTAACTATTCTTATTGTTAATTTAGGGTTCTCTATTGAAACTTCCCCATGCTTGCCAGTCTTAATTAGATTTGATTATTCGTATTTCTAAACTCTTACATGTAGTTTGGCCTAAGCTTTAATCATCACTCTAATATTCTAACTTTTTTGTTTAAGTCACGAGAAGATAACATTATTATTATTGTCCAAATTCAACCGGCGTGTAATTTTAATATTGCCTAACTTCGCATACATTCTAGTTCTACATCAGAATGGGTATTGATAGATGTGTTTATGATGTGAAAAATGGAAAGTATGTTAGTTAGAAATTGAATTAATTGTATGAAGCTAATAATAGATTGTGAGGATTATTGATTAATGATTTTAGTTTATTTAGGTGCCCTATATGCGTAGGTGGACGCGAGATGTCTGACTTGGTGAGTCAACTCGTCGAGGAGGTAAGATGTGCATTTTTATATAATATGCAAGTCAAAATATATATGTATTTAAATTAATTGTTCATGAGACATTTGCCTTTGTACTCTTATATGGTTGTAATTAGGCTGAATTGTGATTCATGCTGTCATTTCACATGCTCTTCTTTGTGATCTGTGAATGTTATATATGCTTCCACATGCAATTTTTTTAATTTGAGACATGATTTATATAGCTATGCTTGCGTATATACTAATACAAATCACATTCATTCTGATCTATAGGTATGTTCATATTCATACATACAAACAAGTACCATATAGTAGATTCTTGTAAGAAGGAAATAACAATGATTAAAAAAGCTTAAGAAAATGTCATGTTTGGTGGTAGACAGGTTGGGGTAGTGCACCGTCGGTGGGCATTGAGACCCAATAGAGGTAGTGTTACATCGATATGATGGAGTCTATGGGCTATAAGACCTATAGGTTGTAGAGCCTACGAGCTATAGTGGCAGTGCGACCTCTGGAGCCTACGGGCTATGGACCTAGACATGAAATTTTTTGAGGATTTAAAAAGGGAAGTTATAAAATGAACAAAAAATCTATAGCTATGATTATGTGTTGCGATGGTATGATTTACATATCATATACGAATGCAGTTTTGCTTAAAATGATACTATTGATATTATATAACATGTAATTAAATGTGTAATGTAGGTGAGCATAATTTTTATATGTTGCATAATACATACCTAGTAGATTTCCTATTACAATTACTATGAACTTAATTTCTTTATGTACACTTCTTACACACATAAGCTAAATTACCTGTTGATGCTCATGTTCATTAGTTATTTATTACACTTGATTATTGCATTAGAGTTGCATATTTTTATGGATGTCGTAGCTATCTAGATTATTATTCTGGCTGTTCTTACTGGAAAGAAGAAGAATAAAGTTGAGCCGGAATAGTATTAGGTCCATTTTTTATTTTGTTTACTTTTGTCAGTGTAAAAAAGGTCTAAAATGTGGTCAGTAGTTCGTTAATAGTTTCATGTTCTAATTTTTTATTGTTACTCCATAGATGAAATTTTTTGGGAATAATTGATGCGGACATCTGACCATGAAAGCTTATCAGAGGAGACGAAGATCGACGACCATGATCGCACCATTTTATTTTAAGTTATTATTTGTATTTTATTTATTTATGCATTTTCTGTTTTAACCCTCACTTGAGGGAGCAGGTGCTTGTGACCCCAGGGGGCACTTTTGTCTTTTGTTATGTATTTTGGGCTATTTATAGCCTCCTTTCTTGTAATGAGGAATGGATTATTTAGAAGAAAATTTATGCAGTTTGTTCTTGAGAGCGATGAGGTTCTTAGGAGAGTGGAAGTCCCTATGTGAGGGCAACGAAATATCCACTAGTTGCAGGAAGCGTTCGGGCTCATGGTTTGAAGTCCCTAGGTGAAGGGCAACACTTCACCCACCAACCATAGGAAGCGTCCAGGTTCGTGGTTTTATCTCTTCCAAACTCCCTTTACCTCCTATCCGCCGACCACAACCTTCCCCAACCCCACAAGCCATTGTCCTATTTCCCTTTCTCTTTCCCTACCCCGTTTAACCTCTCTTCATCCTCCAAGCCGCCGGCCAACACACCCCTTCTTTTCCCCAAACCGCCGGCCGACTCCACCTCTTTTCCCCAAGCCACCGACCTCTCCCCTTCCACCTTCTTTGCCTAAAAAAATTGTTCAAATTGAGGTATTGAATACCTTCCTATTTTGGTCCATTCTAAACTTGGAAAGTTTCTGAAATTCAATATTCAAAATTATTTAAATTTGAATTCTTTCCTAAAATAAGTTGATTTGTTTTGGAAACCTCTCCAATCTCCTCAATCTGACATTAATTAGAGATTCTCCTCTAATCCTCTTTCCTTAATTAATGTCCTATGTTGGAAAGGATTTCAAATCCCCAATCAAGTTCCCTCTTGCATGGCCGACCCCTAGTCCCTTTCCCTCCTTAATTTCCCTCTTTCCTAAATTAGTTTGATATTAATTTGGAAAGTTTTTGCATTCAAATTCAACTAAATTTGAAATTTAAATCCTTTCTTAAATTAATTAACATATTTTAGGAACCCCCCTCTTCAATCTTGGATTGATTAAAATCTGAAATTGAATTGAAATTAATTCCAATTTCAACATTCATTGCACCCAGACACATTCGTTGAATGTGGACAACCCCCCTCCCTTTCTCTTGGCCGGCCCCCTTTCTTCCCTCTCTTAATTAATTCCTCCCCAATTAACCACCCCAATTACAACAACCATTTAACCCACATCAATCCAAATTGATTCTTGCTTAATTTCTCTAGCCACCTAAGCATCAATTAACTCCGGATTTCTTTCATAACTGCTGGAATTAATTCTAGAACTTATGAATTGTTGTCCTTTCCTTAATCTATCCCCAAATCAGGAATTAATTTCAAATTTCTAGCTCCATTCTACATCAATAATGCTTATGAATAATATTTGGACAGTTTCCACTTATGAATAATGCCTCAAAATATTCTTTTACAAATGTTGTATTTCGATGGAAATAAATTGTATTGAAGTGTAAGAGTATTATCTGAAATGATTTATGTCTCCTCTCTTTTTGTGTCGATTGTTTGTAGTAAGGTCGGTGTGAGCTATGACATTTTCATCGTGTTTTTGTTGAGGGATAGTGAAATATGAAATAGTATTTGGGCATTTAGTATTTGATTTGGTGCATAGAGTTTCTATATAGAGAAAAAAATTAGGTTTTCAATATATGTTAGTTTTCTTTTGTAGTTGGTGTATTTTGTAGTTCCATTTAAATAGGAAATAACTAACATAATCATGAAATCAACTTCTACTGCAACTTTCTGGCAAGAAAGGAAGGATGATTTGTTTTATTTTCTTGTTTAAATCAATTGTTGATTTTCTAAGTTAAGCTCCTTTTCTTAGGCCGTTTGCTGTTTTAAGGATTTAGAGATTGTAGAAGGCTGAGATGCAGAGAGAGGATGACATAATTGATATGTAAACTAATAGTTCCTTTTCTATCAAGTTGGTTACAAACTTACAATGAGGATTGATCTGTTTAAAAAGGTTTCTAAGTGTGCCTCTCTTGGTTCTCCTTTGTCGGAATCTAAAAATATGCAATAAAAATGAAATTTTTGTTTAATGGTAGAGGGATTTGCAGTAAGTTCCACATTTTTTGTGTAGTGGTGCTCCATCAATGGAATTGCTTCCTTCATAAAGTTGAATACGCTTGAGTATTGATACTTTATTGTGAGGATATGCTGAGTTTTATAAATTTAGAGTTCTTAATTATTTCAAATATTTCTAAAAATATTATATGGATTTGTTTAGCTATGCGAGTTGCATTCCAGATTGTGTAACTTATCTTCGTCGGTTGCTTGTTGGGCTTGCAGAATTTAAATCGTCTTGGCATTTTGGTGGAAAAAATAGCCCAGATTGGTCTTCCTTTTTGGGTTGGCCGCATAAAGTTGATCGATTGCATTTGCAGTTTCGTGTTAATTGAACCTAATATTGCTCAAGTAAGCTTGTTATACCTTTATGGGTTTAGATTCCTGGCATTACTTAATTTGATGTTAAAGTGTTTTACTTATGTGCTCTACCCCGGGCTTTGTTTCCTGTACGCAGACATTGATGGGAAGACTTTTTGGAATGCTTCAAGATAGGGATTACCGAGTTAGGATCTTTTTAGCAAGAAAAGTTGGCATTCTTTTTCATACCTGGGATGGCCATAATGAGTTATTTCATGATATTTGGTATTTACTATTGTTCTTACTGTCAAGACCTTCACGGATACTAGTTTATTATTTCCATTAAATGTTCCTTTAGGGCATATTAAACCAATTTGTTAATTGCTTTTGGAATGTACTAGCTAGTATGAGCCCTCAATTGAATCTGCAGGATTACATTTATAATTAGTGAAAAATGTTGTTACATCACCTTCCAATCTATGCAACTTATCCTTTTTAAATCTTTTTCTAGAGTTCAATGCAATAGGATCATAACCGAATGAATCTGGAAATGCTGTACAAAGAACATTTTTTATTGTGAATAACATCAAGCATCCGTTGTGATGCTGGTTGACTGGAACATATCTATTACGGCTTTAAACTTCTAAATTGTCGTACTAGTGGTAGTTTTGTTTTCCAACATTGAAATATGAATTTACAAATCTTGATGCCTTTTAAATTGAAATATGGTTGTTATGTAAGAATATATTATTGTAATTTTTAGTTTGTAAACATTTAAAAATATTTGAAAATCTGAAATTTAAAATTTTAATTTTGAATTGTTGGAATTTAAAATTTGGAATTTTAAAAAATTGAGGGAATTGCTAAGTAATTTTACTAGAAATTGATTATTCGATTTAAAAATAATCAAATAACCAATTTCTAGTATGGTATGACCAGCCATCCGATGTTTGGAGGGATTTTTACATTAAGTAATCAACTCCTTCCCCATCCTCCATTGGCTGGCTCCCGTTGTTTTTTTTTTTTCAAATTTTTTTGGAGTGTAAGAAGACTAAGTGTTTGACTGAAAGACAAAAGGGATTTGATATTATTTTACAGATGATTTTAATTTTTTTCTGAAGAGGGGGATTGATGGCTAGCCTCTTCATTGAAGGGGTTTGGTGATCTTTTGATTGCTTGCGACCTTAATGAGTGATAATCTTTCAAAATTTCTGCAAATCCTGGCCATCATTTTCTGTAGAACTTTTCTACAATCCCTCCTCTACTCTTTCATATCATTTTCTTGACATATTTCCCTCAAAAATCCAAGCAAACCTTTGACATAAGCTCTCGGACAATGCTTGAAGGAATAAGATCTAGTCTAGTTCTTAACACCATTTCTCTGTCCTTAAAGCCTTGGAAAATTGTGAAACATTTGAGGACATAACCAGTCACATCCATCCAAACATCCTGATTGTTTCCTAGGCATAGAGTTTTCAAAATTTAAAACCCCAAAACCTTAAATCCCAAGTTAGGAATTTTGGCCAAAAATTCCCTTCCACTACTTGGTCAATCCCCACGGTATGGATACTTGGCATCATTCTTTCTAAACCTTTCCCATGGATTATATACTCTTTGTAACATAGGGATAATGTCTTTTTTATTTGATTTAGTTAGGATAGCCATAATTTTACCCTTTATATTGGGTTTATTTGCTTTATAAATAGGGTTATCTGTATGGATTTTTGAGACAAATTGGTTGGCAACTAAATTTGTTTGCAATTTTCCATTAACCCAAGTTTTATGTTGAGAGTTTTGGCAGCATGAGAAGTTGGCGGTTTTTGCAAGAGCATGCGAGGTGGCGTTTTGAGCAACAGGAGGAAGTGATTTATAGGATGGCATGGAGAGGAGTTGTGGATTGATTGAGATATTGGGAGATTAGAGGGATGCATGTGAATGAGGCGTATAGAGATCTGAAGGTTTGTCTTGAACCATGTTGACTTGAGAGATTTGTTGAGAAAGGTGAGCATGGGAGAGTGGAGACACGTGTGAGGGAAGATATGATAATTTTAATGTGATTTAACGGATAGAGGATAAGGATTTTTTTATGAAGAGATTTGATGTGTGGTTTTGGGAGGGTTTGCGGGTATTTGCTTGGAGAATTATGAAATATTTATGATTTCTTGGGTGAAGGGGTTCAGTTTGTTTTGTCTATTCATTTATTTGAGGAGGTAACTGTTGAAGTAGTTAAATGTGTGAAACAGATCAGGGATTTGGGTGGGTTACGGATTTTCTTATGAAATTCTGGGGTTTGTGGGATTTATGAGAATTGCTTATTCGTTGGAGTTTCTTTCAGGAATTACGAGGCATGCAATATAGAAGTTTGAAGTTTTTTCCTTTTTTGGTTTGGAGCTTTCTCTATTTTGATTGTTTTTCTCATTTCTCTGAAGTTTTCCTAAAATTTGTGGAAGGATTAGTAGTCTAGGGTGTGAAGAAATTAGTTGTGGAAAGGAAAGATTAAAGAATAATGGGGTTTTTAGGGAAAACAAATTCTAAGAGTTGCAATTAATTGATCAAATCTCTAACACCAAATGATATAGAGCATTATATGATGGAAAAATAATGGCATGAGATAGGAAGAAGTAAAGATAGTTGGAGGAGAGAAATAAACCCTGCATATACAAAAGATTAGTGCGACTTGCTTGCACAAGTTGGATCACTGGAAAAGAACCACTAATTTCATTCATCAAAAATCTATTTGCTATATTCATACAACCAACCATATTAATAAAGAAAATAAACCCTATTAAATTATTATTCAAATATCTAAAATAATGATTAGTTAAATTTTTTGTTTATTACATTAAAAATTCGATTTAATATGAAAATCAGGCAAGAAAGAGTGTTAAAAATTTGTTTGATTTTACTTTTTTGTTGGCTGGTTTGACTCATTCTGGTTGAATGACTCATTCTGGTTGAATGATGAAAACTAATCTTATCCGGGCTAAATTAGTTGAATGGATTATATGGCATCAGTTTGCATCAGTTTTGGAAGGTTAGATAAATGATTAGTTCAGTAATTGACTATATTTTCAGATTTTGGTAGACTGAGATATGTTTTCGTTGAGGATAAGGTGAACATAAATTAGATTGAGAAGTAGATCTTGTGAATGACCAACATGATGTGATGGTAAATGTGGTAATGGTTGTAATAAATAGGAGCTGTTAAAAATTTTCATGGTAAGAAGTTCTTGACGTGGTTTGACTAAATCTTGGAAAAAGGAAGGTAGTATAACTAGTTGTTGTATTCTAATATTATTGATCTAAATTAGCCAACTAAAATGCTCGAAATTCTGCAGCATTTAGCTTGACCAAAGGCTAAAATATGCCTTAACCTGATATTTATTTGATTGATTTAGGTTGCATAATTATTAATTATTGGTTATCTTCAACATTGTTTCTCTTTTTTTTGTCGCTGTCTGAATTTTGGTAGTCAACTTAAATGTTGGTTGATGCTACTTAGTTTGTTTTGACTAGATTATTTTATGCTCGTTATTTAAATGGATAGAAGTTAAAAAGTAACTTTTGTTCATTACTATTTGGTAAAAAACTAATCGGTTGTAATCTTTTTGGTAGTTCCAATTTTGGAGTTGAGTTGGTTAGGACGTCTAAAGATAGAGTTGTAAAAGCCCATGAAGTTATAGCACTTGGTGCTCAGTCTGTTCTTGGAATGGAATCTGCAATCATCACTCTTGCTCATCTTGCATTTTTCAGTGAGAAAGTCGAAATTGAGGTAGTGTGATTTTTTACTAGTAAGTCTGCCTTCTAGTGCATCAATTCAAATCTTGTTTTTATACAGTCTCTTCCATGCTATATTTTTTTATCCTTTTACCGAAATTTAGATTTATTGGAGAACTAGCACAACTAGTTGTATGGAGGTTGTCGGCAAGTATTAGTTGACCCAAAAAAAAAAAAAAAAAAAAGAAAGAAATTTTGTGTTGTCTTTACTTCCCTGTCCTACTGATATTTCATGTTTTATTGCTCGCACTGTGTGTTGGTGTCATACACACCTGAAAGCAAATGCATCCTATTCATTGAAATCAGTGGCTCTTTCTCCAAATTATTTCTTGTTACTAGAATTTCTGTGTTTGTCTTCTTCAGGCTATTTTTATGATGTGTGTGGCTGCTGCTATTGTTCCTTGCCAAAGGTATATTCTTACCTCTCCTGGTTCCATTTCGAATATGCTTGTTTTGTTTTCAACTAATTTGTTCTCTCACCCCCTTTAATTATGCCTTAGAAAGCTAGTTTATGCGTTGCTTGATAATCTATCCGAAGCGCTTCAATATGACTCGAGGGCCAAGGTATGAATTCTGAATTTTAGCTCAGATCATTTAATTTTTGTGGTCCCCCAATCATATTTATAATTTTTTTCTGTTTTATTCATGCAACTTTTGGTATCTGGTAATTAAATTTATGGCTTTATTAGTTTTAGTTTATTAGGTGGAATTATCTTGTTGCATAATCTTAAGTTTGGATTTGAGTTGTGTAGCATTAGATTTATTTTTAGATAGGATTTGATTTTATTTTGAACTATTGGGTCTTATCTTTATAACACTTTATGTTAATAATTATAAATAAGTTATTGATAAGGCCAAGTTGTGTGTGTGGATCGCTCTATGTTTTTCTTCCTATTTTCTCCAAGAGGTTGTGATGTAGGCAAAGGGGGGAAAATGATGCGGGCAAAAATCCAGGGGATGGGGGGACCCGAGGACCTCTGCCCACAAAAGAGATACACCACCCGACCTAAAAGAAAAGGAAGGGGACTTTTACGACATAAAACGAACACACACTTAGCTAATTATAGGGACACACTTACTAGATAATAGGAAGAACAAACTCTTATATTTTAAATTAAAAAGAAACTTACAAGTTCGACTCGACCAAGACACCCTAAACTTGGTTTACTTAAGAGACGAAGGATACAGGTGGGGTGTAAACTTGCGGAGAGACGAAAGATATTAGATGATGTGAATCAAGGTAGGAATTGCAATTAGAATTTAAAATGAAGATTATTCAAAACATTGTCATCACAAATTAATTACCAACAAAAGTCAAGGATTAAATCGTTCAAAAGTAGTTAACTTGCTTAGGCGAAGATATGCTTTTGAGTTTCTATAAATAAAAATACATAATTAAGATAACTAATGAACTAAAACTTAGCTAATAATGAGCCAACCTTTAGTTCAATAAATGAACTAAAAACTTGCTCATAAATGAGCTAAATTCCAGCTCAAATTTTATTGAGCTTGTAAGCTCAAGGGAAGTCAAAACCAACTTATTTTGGGTTTGAGTTGACCCCCCACCTACATCAGACTCCCCTTCTTGAGAACTCATTTCCCGATGAGTTAGCTTTTGCTTTCATTGGAGGAGGTGAAGACGGAGCATCCAACTCTTTGATCTTTTCTTCATATTTCTTCAGGATCTCTTCTCATTCTTTCAGAAATTGATCTTGTAAACGCTGCTTCTTCTTCATGTACCTTTCTGTACACAAATGCATCCATGATTGAAGTTTGTATAGTTCATACATCAAAGGATTTGTCGATTATGATGGAATCCATCTATCCATAGGATCTTCAATTTCATCTGACTTGCTTTCTTCAAATTTTTTGTCTTTTTCCATTTTTAAAATGACTCAAAAAATAAGACTCAAAGAAAGACTCAAAAGACTCAACCTAAAAGCTTAGACTCGCAAGACTGACAAAACTTACAATAAGACTTGACCAAAACAAGATTTGACAAACCAACCCTGGACTTCCTAACTTGCTCTGATACCAAAATGATGCGGGTCATAATATTTAATATCTTGAAAAAGTAATATTTGTTATAAATAGTTACCAATTCATATAAAAATTATAATTGTTAAAGAAAACTTGATAGTAATTTTTTTTTTGTAAATTAACATATTTTTTTGAATTGGAGAAATAATCTTGGAATAATAATATAATCATAATATTTAATATCTTGAAAAAGTAATATTGAAAAAAATTATAACACCTACATACTCATAGTTAATGGGTGTAAATTAATTAATGTGACATTGAATAACTATTTAATAAAGTGAGTGGGCGAGAGAAAGAACGAGTGAATAGGAGAAGAGTTAGTGGATGAAGGGAGCATGGAGATTGAGTGAGTGAAGCTTATCAAGTGAGCAAGCGCACAAATGGGCATGCTAGATGGCATCAAACGAGGAGTTTATGATTGGGTTGAGTGTTAATAGGGTGATGTGATGTGTGATGGTGAATGCTAAGGCTAGGAGCTGTGTAGCTTGAGCTAATTTTTGAATTAGGAAAAGTTATGTAGGGCTTTTCTTAATTTTGTTCTTTCTACCAATTCAAAGATTTGTCTTAACCTTATGATTGTGTTTCATTTCCTTTAGACAAAGCGAACAAGATTTGAAAGGTTTATTTGGAAATATTTTATTGAAATCTGCTCTGAAATCTCTTTAGGATGTACACAAAGTTATAAAGTTCTATTTGATTGTTTGTTTTCGCCTTGGTATAATGAGCAACCAGGTTGGTTTATAACACCAGTGTTCCTTAATGCACACTATTTCTTTCCCATGGCACAACCATATGCCCTACCATGATCAATAAAAATCTTATGAATATCTTTTTTTTTATTTGTCTTCTTCATTAATTATTTTAATACTTAATATCTCTTTCATAGTTTCGCTTTGTAGTATGAATCTGAATCGGCTCTCTAAAATTAAACTAAAATTTCTTTGCTTTTGTTTCATTACTTACCTCTATCACTTTATTGTTTAACTCATAAATTTGATTCCTTTATAATTAGTCCAATCTTGAACCTATTAAAGACTTTTGTTTAAGTAGATCTAAAACTGAATATTATAGTGTAATTTTAGTAATAATAGATCTAGTGGGGGGATTGTGACTTTGGGCTATCAAGTCATTAATAAGAGTAAACGTTTTAGATATCTTGGGTTTATTGTTCAGAGTGATGGTGAAATAGATTGGGATATTATTAGTAGAATTCAAGTTGGATGGTTGAAGTTGAGAAATGCATCGGGCTTATTATGTGATAGAAAAGTCCCTCTCAAACTTAAGGAAAACTTATATAAGATGGTAGTAAAACCTGCAATACTTTATGGTGTAGAATGCTAGCCATTAAAAGAGAAGCATAATATTAAGTTATGTGTTGCAGATATGAGGATGCTCAGGTGGATGAGTGGCTTTACTCTTGAAAACATGATACGAAATAATCATATACATGAAAAGGTTGGAGTAGCTCCCGTAGAAGATAAGATTAGAGAAAGTCGCCTTAGATGGTTCGGTCACATAAAACGACAGCCTTCCGATGACCTGGTTAGGAAAGTAGATGTAATAGATATGACTTATATTAAGTAACGTAAAGGTAGACCTAAAAAAGACTCGGTTAGAAAAGATTAAAAATGACATTTCTTTTTAAGTTTAGATGAGAATTTGACCCTTAACAGAGGACAAAATGGAGAAATGATTCATGTAGCTGACCCCACATAGTGAGATAAAGGCTTGTTGTTGTTGTTTTCATGAAAATGTCCCAAATATTATAATAAGCTTGGATGATAATTATATACCATCTATCATGTTAAATAGTATTATTCTGAAAACTAACTTTTATTTCATGAAGAGTTCTTGTTCAGGGAATTAACTAAATGCTGTCTAATATTTAATTCATGAAGAGAAGATGAATAAAAGAAAAAAAAATTCAGTTTTAGATTTAAAAGTACCTATGATTCCTTGTTTCCCATTTCAATTCATATTTTTAGTCTTTAAGTACTGATATATTTCAACTGTGTATTGCGTAAATTCCAAGCTTTTATTTTTATACCAGCTACTATTCTGCTGCTTCAACTTTATACATAAAGTTCTTTCATGTTTACAGTATCTAGGGGAGCTGTTGGGATCAATAGTTGCTCGATGGGTAGCTTGCGAAGTAAGCTTAGCAGGACTTTTAGAGGTAATAGTATGATTAATTTTATTTGTAAGCCATTTTCACAATCATTTATTTTTTGTCAGATAGTCTCTATGAATTTTTTTGTAAATTTTAGAGTTGCAACTAATATTTGGAAGATTTTTTATTTTTTTATTTTTTTATTTTTGGTATTGGGAAAAGGAAGAATCCTTAAATTTGAGATGCTATTTTTTTATGAGTGATTCTATGAACACTTTATTCGGTTAAATGATTTTAGTCATTCTAAAATTTCTTCCATTTCTTAGACAAAATCCTGCTATTCTCTTTATGTACTTTAAACTTCAGGCTCATTAATACAATTAAGTAAAAGAATATAACTCTATTTTAATGTAACACTATTTTATAACTTTTACCACATCCTACTTGCTTGTTGCGATGTGACCTTGAGTTGAGTTATTTTCTGCATATTTATAGAATCAGAGCTATGAAAGGATGTTGGTTATATTTGCCCAGCTATCTTGTAATAATTATTCCAAATAAACTTGTTTCCATATAATTTTGGTATATCTTAGGTTGCAATTATGCATCATTTTTACTTGAGTATCTATTATCACTCTAGAACAAGCCCAAATTAATTTTGATGAATTTCTTAGCCATGATAATCAATTTAAAGACCCTATCACCAATAGTTTTAGTAGTTGTGATAAAGAGGTCATATCCTTATAAATCAAATTTTTAGATGAAGTGCCAATGGGGTTATAGATTAAACATAGCTGCATAGGAAGGTTAGGGTGTTCCCTGGAGGTGATGAACTATATGGTTTGAATGCAGTGTAAAATGTGTTAGGGCCGCTAGTTCAGCACCCATGGGTGAATGTTGGGAAAAAAGCTAGCCCATAACTAGAATTATGATAAGAACTTGGAATAAATATTTTCTAATAGGCAAATTAATGTAATTAATATATATGATGATTCATAGGAAGTTGAATTTTCTATTTATTTAGGAAACTAAATGGATTGGAGTAAAGGCTAAAGAGATTTATAGTATAGGATTTAAACTATGGTATTCAGATATGAGTCATATTAGAAATAGTATGATTATGATTATAGATAAGAGTTTGAAGGATAATGTTGTAGAAATTAATAGAGTTGGAGATTAAATTATAACTTTAAAAATTTGTTTGATGCTAAGGTTATTAAATTAGAAGTATTTATTCTCTTCAAGTAGATTCAAAGATGTGTTTAAAATTAAAATTTTGTATTGACTTAGAAGAATTAGTATAAATAATACGTCTTAAAGGAAGTGTTTTTATTGGAGGAGGTTTAAATGGATATGTTGGTAGAGTGAAAAAGATTTTAAAAACACTCATGGTAGTTATGAGTTTGTAGTGACTGATGAATGTGGTAGTACTATCATAGATTTTGTTATAACTTATGATTTTGTAATTGTTAATATAATTTAAGAAAATAAATGTGTCTTATTACTTGTAAGAATGAATATAATAAAATTCAAATTGATTATTTTCTTATAATTAAAATAGATCGTTAGTTTTTCAAAGATTTTAAAGGCATTCCGAATGAAAGTTTATGTACCCAAAATCACTTATTAATTTTGGACTTTAAGATGAAATGATAGAATATAAAAATAAAGTAAAATATTATCTTAGGATTATGTGAGGGTATTTAAAGTACACTTATAAAAATATTTTTTAGAGTGAAATTCGAGATCTCAATATCTGGGTTGTTTATGAGAAAACTGATGTTATCTGGGAAAAAGTAGCCGTCGATATTAAGAATGTTGCAAAGTATGCGTTTGTAGAATCAGAAGGAAAAATTCATAATAGAAAAAATAGTTGGTGGTGTAATTAAAAATGTGTAAGAAAAAAATTAAAAATAAGAAGTTTTATTATAAAAATTAGTTTAAATGTCAAAGCTCTAAAAATTGATAAAGATATAGAGAGGCCCGTAGGGACTTTGAGATAGCAATATGCGATGCATAAAATTTAGCTTTTAGTGATTTATATAATAGATTAGATTATTAGGAGTGCGAATGATGTAGATATAAGTTAACCAAGCAATGAGACAGGTGAAATAATGTTTTACTTCAAGTGAAGTGTACTAAGGATAAAGACAAAAAAATATTTTTTTAGAAGAGGATATTCAACATAGGTTGATGAGATATTTAGAGAAGATTTTTAATAAATATTGTGAGAGTAATATTGGCTTTAGTGCTCTTAACAACTTTGATGAAGATAAAGATTTTTATTTTTATCATTGTATTAGTAAAATGGAAGTTGGAGAGGCTTTAAAGAAAATCAAGTATGGAGATATTCCAATAGATGTGTGGAAATGCGTATGAGATCAAAGAATTTATTGGCTCAATAAAGCTTTTAATATTTTTTTGAAGACTAAAAATATGTTAGATGAGTGGAGGAGTGTGCCTATTTGTATTTTTAAGAGTAAGGGTGATGCACAAGAGTATGTGAATTTTAGAGGAATTAAGTGAATGTGTCATACATTAAAATTATTAGAGAATAATTGAGCATAGGTTATGACGTGATACTAATGTTTCTCAAAATCGATTTGGGTTCTTGCCGGGTAGGTCTACGAATGAAGTATACATTTGTTGAGAGGTTTGATGGAAAAGTATAGAGAGAGTAAGGAGGGTCTACATATGATATTCATTCCAGGAGAGGCAGTTCACCATGACTAAGCCTATTAGTGGGTGTAGATGGAGCAACTTTCTTGTAATCAATTGATGGGAGGCCCATGGAAGTAGCAGAATCGGCCACATTGGGGGAGGATGTGAATTAGAGCAACTGAGTGGGTGTCACGACCCGGCCCGGTTAGCTCGTATAGATGAGGAGGGAACAGAATCGAACGTTCAGAACAGTTCAATCATCATATTGCATGTATAAAAAATTCTAATAGACTTCAATAGGAATTTAAAAGCGCCTCTAAACCTTTTTGCAAAACATATGTTTAACATTACAAGCCATTTCAAAAGAGAGTTCATAAACAAGGTGGTTATAAAATGAGACTATTCATGCCAAAACCACCCAAAAGAAAAACCAACTACAGCTAGGAAAACATTAAAAGAACCTGTCAACCGGTATACGACGGCTGTATGTGAACCTTGGGTTGTTATCCATCTCTTGTAGCAGGTTCTCCTGAAAAGTATCCCAACACGAGGGAGTGAGCTAACGTTCAATAGAAATTCTCTAATCCTAACATGTTCACATGTCTTATAAAATGAAATTTACATTTTTAGACTAATGGGGAAAATGCCTTGCTTTCTTTTCCTACACATGCTTACCTTTATATCATGTTTTGTGTATGTCATATGCATATACCTTAAACATGTCGGGTAATGAAAGTCATATCATATGCTTTTTTATACTTTATTATATGCAATCGTACCGGAGTACCAGGGGTGTACTGATCAGGTACACAAACATCTTTTGGCCATTTATTTCTTTTCCTCTTTTGCCCCAAAGGGCCATATTGTTCCCGTATTGCTCATAAGAGCCATATTTGTGCTTTTGCACTGTATTGGTACTCCACAATCAATCATGCACAAGCATTTTCATATTCTTTCCATATAAGTATCGACTCTTTCTATATAACATCATATGTCTCAAACATGAAATATTTGACATGTATTCCTAAACATGAAGTGACATGCATCTTAAACATGGTGTGACATGCATCTTAAACATGGAGTGACATGCATCTTAAACATGGAGTGACATGCATCTTAAACATGGAGTGACATGCATCTTAAACATGGAGTGACATGCATCTTAAACATGGAGTGACATGCATCTTAAACATGGAGTGACATGCATCTTAAACATGGAGTGACATGCATCTTAAACATGGAGTGACATGCATCTTAAACATGGAGTGACATGCATCTTAAACATGGAGTGTTATCTTAAACATGGACATATGAAATAGAAAAATCTAATACTACTAATATATCTAAGAAATAATACTAAGAAAGAATATATAGATAAACTAAAGCAAGTCAAGTTTTTTTTAAGCTTTCGCAAAACGATCACAATTGATACAAGTAGATTTTTCAGTAAAGTACTAAATTAGTAATATTCCTAGCTCTAAAGCCCACTCCTTCCCCATACTACAAGTGAAAGAGAAAATGTAAACACTACCATTAAAGCAGCCCAAGCGAGACTTACTATATCCATGTGAATGATGTCCCCTATTGAAGGAATTCTTCCATTATTGATTCATAATCATAGTGGAATGAATGGTGCAGAGTCAAAATAGGATTCTTACTTACGGCTCTTTATGAAACAATTTCATAAATGTCTAGAAACTTGGGTTCTGAATTGGTGGAATACCAGGCAATCCGAAATCCTTTTGAATGAAAAATGTTCTAGAAAAATTTATGGAATTAGAAGAACTATTCCTGTTGGACGAGATGATAAAGGAGTACTCGGAGACACATATGCAAAGGCTTCGTATAGGAATGCACAAGGAAACAATACAATTGGTCCAAAGACACAATGAATCTCATTTCCATATCATTTTGCATTTCTCTACAAATCTAATCTGTTTCGCTATTCTAAGTGGTTTGGGTAATGAAGAACTTTTCATTCTAAATTCTTGGATTCAGGAATTTCTCTATAACTTCAGTGATACAATCAAAGCTTTGGATCGGATTTCACTCGACCCATGGTTGGGAACTAATGATTGGTTCGATCTACAACGATTTTGGATTGGCTCAGAATGATCAGATTATATCTGGTCTTGTTTCCACTTTTCCAGTGATTCTAGATACAATTGTGAAATATTGGATCTTCCATTTTTTAAATCGTGTATCTCCTTCGCTTGTAGTAATTTATCATTCAATGAATGAATAATTCATTAGATCTTTTGATATCAATCAAATCAGAATCTTTCTTCATGTATAAATAAATCATTTTTCATCTTACTTATTCTTTATACTTCTACCTTTTCAATTCAAGGTATTCATACTATATTCCACCAGTACAATTCTTTCAGTACAATCAATACAATGGC